AAATCTGGCAATTTTTGATAATTTTGAGCACAATAAAGAACTTTTCCATGCATAAGTACTGCCACCAATACATGGTACAACAGTATCATAGGTCTACCTGACTGAAGGCCTATCCATCAGTCTGGGTGTATCATTGATATAAAAATCATTTGAAGCATGGTGAAGGCTGGGTACAACATGGTACATTAACCCTGTTTACAACACTGCTAAATGGTTACATAACACTGTGGGCCATGGCGTCAATAGCCATTTTTTAACACAAATCTATGTGCCACTTTCTTCTTCTTCTGGTATGGTGTTCCGATTTTCACAGTCAGTACATGAACAAGCATCGATGCACTCTAGTCCGGCAAGGAAACAAGGACTCTTCCTCGCACTCGAGCAGTCTTTGTCTGTGCAGTAGAGATGTGTCAGGTCTCGAACTTCAACTGGAGCTGATGGCTGAGTGAATATCGTCTGTGTTATGCCTCCATCATCACAAGCGGAACAACCATGGCCAACCAGTTCGATTAACTCTTGGTTGGGGATGTGACTCCTGCACCAAATCCGTGTTTGGTACTTTGCGGGCAGGACATGTTGTTGGAAGGCGTCTTCTGTTGGAGGAAGCATGGCTGCAGACTTGTCTGTCGTGTTAGCCATGATGTACCGCAACTCATCAAGTGTGTCCATTTCCTTCTTCCCGTAGAGGAGTAGTGTGTAGCCACGGGCTACCGTGATGCTCTCCTTTATGTCGTCTTCATGGAATGACTTGAAGTTATTTATTATTACAGATCTGGATTATTATTACGGGCTGGGCCGGGCCGGAGCGTCCTACTGAGAGCAGAGCCCAGTATTTATACCACAAGCTTAGCGTGGTCCTTCTTGCGTTCATACCGGCATTAACAGTCGTTAAATATATCACGGAGAGATACAATATGTAGAGAAACGATTCACTAGCATTCCCGCCTGTGTATATCTTGCTTTTTCTCTTATTTCTTCGCGTGGAGTGTTTGGAAACAGCACGAACAATCGTTTATAAGTTTGTATAACAAATTTATTAGCAGAGCGGCAGTGAGATGGACCTGAGAGTATAGTGCCGACGGGCCACGCCGATTTCTAGCAGGCTATCATTTTCGGGCAGCGTGATTTTTTTTCCACTCAGACTTAATGGCATTAATGTGCATAGCGGCGCTTGCATTGGCTTTCCATGGCGCCTAACATGGCCTCGGCCACTGCTTAGCTTTGAGTAGGTAGGATGTGGTATCGCCATCTCGGTTATGGCCGATACTCGCAGACCCTTACTTCCGGTGAGCACCTGCAGA